AGTTGTTTGTTGTTTATCTGCAAATTTAGTCAGTTTGTTGGACATCTTCAGTCCTGTTCCGGTAAATTACAGTCATTTGTTTTGTCCCTATCTTTGGTTGCCTTATCAGACTTATGTGTTACCTTTTTGACTATCGTGTCATTGTTATTTACTTATTTTCAGTACTTGATATTTACTTTCCCTCAGTAAATATTTCTTCCTTTATTTGCACTAACTTTCGAAGTATTAGCTACAACTTTAGCTGTGCAGTTTCCATCGTTGTGTTTGAAGAATTTCTGGAGTGGTTGTTTTAAGTTTACATTATTACTTGTTACTCCTTAAGTAGAAAATAGAGAGACTGATATCAAACAGAAGAGACCAGAATAACTGAAACAGGAGCAAAATGTTGAACTACAAGGATACTGGCCTAGACTAAGCCTGGGAAACCAAAAGACGAGTTCACCTATCTTCTTAATGATCAATAATTATAAAATATATTACTCACTTCACTTGGTTTCTATTGCTAACTTTAATAGAGGCAGTTTAGTTATATACGCATAATAGAAGAATCAAAAACGAGTTGTGATGAATATTTTAAGCCAATTTCCTTGTGTAAACTTACCTACATTCCAATTACATAAATTTGCTAAGAATTGTGTAAGGAGAAATCATCATGCTTCTGAGTGTTGTTGCATGTGCATTTCACATAGTTTTACTGCATTTCAGTATTCACCCACTGTAGTACAAACTTTCGGTACAGACTTAATCTTTTTCTAGAACACTATGTGATTAGAATAGTGTGTAATAAAAGTAGACAGGCAGAGGACGCCGGATTTTATGCGGGTGCCTATCACACTACTATTATTAACATTACTTAGCTCCCATGGTTTTTAAATAAAAAGTATTTTGCAAAAAGTAGATATGTTAAAATATCACACTGAGAATTCAAAACTGTACTCAAAGATACTGTCTGGAATGAAGTGATTACTATTCTTTTTTGTCTACTTCAAAATATTAAATGAGCAGTTTTCCTCAACAGTTATGCTTTATTTCAGGGGGACAATACAGATAATAGCGTTAAGAGGTTGAATGCACAGGCGAAACATTACCGGAAAAGGTTATGCACTGAAGTCATTTGTCGCATCAGCAGATGTCCAGAACCCAAAATAATGATGACAGTTTAGATTGAAGATGATAAAAAAACTTACTTGAATAGAAGTAAATGTCACTGTTGGGAAAGTTTTTTGGTGTCGGTTCCTAAAGTAAATGTAGATTTCAAGAAGCTAAACAGATAATCAGTGAAGACGCAAATTTTTTGCCAATAAAACTGAAGGACACCATAGCACATCTTAAAAGCATGCAAAACAGATAAAGAAGAGATGGTAAACAAAATCACCAAAGATTTTTAGCACCAAATGCAATAACCTCATCAGTAAAAATGATGTGGACCTGTAAATTTAGGAGTAAATATTATTATTATTATTATTATTATTATTATTATTATTATTATTATTATTATTATTATTATTATTATTATTATTATTATTATTATAGTACATATACCGTCTCAGTTAATCCCGAACCATAAAAATAGAAGGGGGTTAGTAAGTTGTTTTAGACAATCTTTCACAGGAAACTTGAGGTAGATATCAAGAACTCACATCAATTTATTGCGATGAGGAAATCTTCTGACCATAAAGCATGCGTTGCTCAAATTAGTTGAGGCGAAAACCTCAATGTATAAGAAAATGACAAAGCGTTTAGTGCCACTATTGACAAAAACCTAAAATTATATCACAACCATTATCGTTGACATTCTGAACAGTCTGCAGCGTTATCCGATGTAGACAGTATGCATAGATTTCAGATAACTCCTGTGCGGGAGACACCTCCAGGATCTATATGGTGCGACCGTTTGTGCATAGACAACTAGATGCTCTTACCCTGAAGTTCTTTCTTAAACTTTACAAGGCAAAGATAAACCCTGCAGGCACTAGGTAAACAATTACTTCTACCCTTATCCTAAACATGTCCATACTCATAATTGGTAATATCATGTAAGTCAGTACCATCAGTTACCTTTGAACTTTAGTGCAGGTGAGCTCGTCCTCTTGTACACGCAGACATTTTTCTTTAGTGCTACCAAAAAATGCTTGATTGCAAGAAAACGAGTCCAATAACACCAGTGCTAATCGGATACGACTGAGTAATGCAAATCCATAAATCTTCAGATGAAGGGAATCATAAAACGTTTGTGGAGTTGTGGAGTCCATCAGTTTTTCAATGACTGGTGGCTCAGAAAACTACCAATAAACGCTTTAAACCTGGAAAAACACCAAAATAAAACAATGAACTGGATCCTAAGGTTTATTGTCACGAAATCTACCGAAACATCACAGCAGTAAATAATATGAACACATATGCTTTCACTAAAGTTTTGAATCGCTTAGCTTCAGCGTTCTGAGTATGTGAATGAAAGCGATTTATCATAACGAAACTATGGTGGACCAACGGAAAATAAATCTATCAGCGGAAAAATGGGAATGTAACAATGTTTGAACAACATTGACATTACGTTAAAGAAAATTCCACTTGTCTATTCTTACTCACAGTGGGATTATTCAGTGACTTAGTCATGAATTACAAGTTACTAAGCAATCCATTCGACAGTCAATAATGAGACCTTCCTGGAAGCCTAAACAGAATCACTCATCAAAGCGTGAAAATCCGTTTGCGGTTACTTTTTCTTTGTAAGTCTGCGGTTACCAGAACACGTTATCAACTGAGGTAGCCACTGTCCTGTCTGTCGATAGATTAAAAAGAAATTTAGGCAGCCGCACAGTGAAACATGGATTGTACTCATCCAATTGAGATGCGTGTCAAGTAGAAGCAAGTGACTGGCATCGTATCAGTTCAGCTCTTTTTGTTGCCATCATATCGATTCTCTTTCATGCTCATTATTAGTGTAGACACGATTCATTCTTTTACCCCCTCATTAGACATCTTACCTCTCCATTTACCGTTTCATTCCTAATACTTCTATATTTCGATTTCCATAATCTATACTAGGATTTTCACACTCGTTTCCTTTTCTCTTACTTTGCAATTTAGCTCTTTCAGTTTAAGCTCTTCATATGACCTTGTTCTTTTTCCTCATCTTTAATTTTTTCTCTTTCATTCATCTCATCCTTCGCCCCCTTGTCTTTCTGGCTATTTTCTTAATCAACTTATCCTTCTCCCATGACTTTTTGGGGATATGACATTGAAGACCATACAACCTTCTACAGATTTTGACCAACAACCAACCACTCTCGGGGTTACCAGAGATTCGGTCGGTGATTTATTGAATACACTGCCCCTGAATCTCCGAGAGACTAGTAATCATTTAATAAGACCTGAAAACAAGTTGGAAGAAAACTGGTTTAATACAAGTAGGGGAGCAGATATGATTTGTTGACTAAATCATCTAGCAGTTCATCGAGCAAAATGCTGCACTTGTGTTATAAAAAGACAGGTGGTTATGTTAAACAATATGGACTAAAATTGAGCATAATGACTGAAGAATCCACAAGTTGTATATGTTGTATAATAAAGTAAATCATAAGCTATTTAAGGGCGACATTCGACAGCATAGATTATCAGGTGAATGTGCAACCAGTGGTGACTTAACCGTTAGGGTATACGAAAGCGGTCTCTAGTATATGGTTTCAATTGTTATCAAAATGAAAAGCCTAGAGAATCTGAGCTTAGTTGAACCATTTTGTTGGCAAAGCAGTCCCGGAGGACAATCAATCAGGTTGTAGATGCTCTTTTTCGAGTTATTCTTTTTCGTCTATTTACCATGTTTTTGACGCTGCATAAGCTACTTATTAAGTATGCCGAATACTACATTGTCATTTATTTGCGGAGAGTTGGGTTACTTGTGAGAATTCCGAATAGGGAATATGCTGTTGTGATAAATTTTGTGCATATAAAAGGAAATGAAGGTTTTAACTTTCCTGTCCCAGCTGTTACAAGACATAATCACGAACAGAATCATTTTCCAAAGTACTTCATACAAATATCCAACAAATAATGATCAAAATAATATAATGGGTTATTAGAACATGTGTGATATCACCTGGGGCTCTGATGGATGTCACTGAGTTTTCTTCAGTGCAGCAGTATGAGGGATGCAGATATTAGCTTCGAAATATTCTGCAGGTTGGATGTTAAGTTTAGTGGACTACGTAATATGTTAAAGGTCAATGTACCCCAATTTCCTGCAACAGGTTCTAACTATGGACTATCTGGCGATAGAATCTGAGCTCCACTAGCATTTTTTTCAATCCTGGCCTTTGAAACGTTTTACCATGAGTTCCCAGATAATCAGCTATAGGGGGAGAAAAAGATTGAAGAGATCAACACCCAAGTTTTTACTCAAGATACGATGCACCAACATAAGATCTCCCCTTTTCCTACTATGTGATAATAAGGTAAGACCCAGAATTTTCAACCACTTTTCCCAGGGGAGGTGATAAAGTTCTGTCCTTAACTTATTACACTGTACGAAGAGAGAGGTGGGTTCCAGGCTCCAGCCTTAAGAGCAATCGATCAGTTGATCTAGGTCACACTCGACTGTTATCCTATCATCATTACTACGAATAACCTTCCAAACCTTAACATCATCTGCAAATAACAAGAATGATGACCTTAGCATAACCGACAGTTCATTTAAATAGAGCATGAAAAAAGAGACCCGAACACAGTGACTTAAGGAATTCACTGGTAACCGGTTTCCAATCAGATAATACCCCATGGATTACGTAGACCTTTTTTGAAGATGGCAAAAATTCGATGTTTAAATTTAAGAAGCTATAATAAAATGATAATTTGTTGTAAGAGGGAAAAAGAGAACATTCATATGCTCATTTAGAAATTATTTACACACATTTGTGAATATCCAACAGTTAATAATTTCTGATCTCTGGAATTCGCAGTTTGATACATTTCATTATAGTTGCCATCATGTTTTTGCAACTTCAGATTCCATTTACAAACCCTGTTGACCAATTCACATAATTCTCAGCTAAACTTCGTGTAATAATAAATGCACCAGATTTCAAGTGTTCTTTGAACGGATGAATATGAATGTCGTTCAAGTGTGTAAGTGTTTTATTGAGCCTTTTCAAAATGATACCAAAATAAGCATCATCAATTCGTATTGGTTTTGTGAATGTCATTGCAACAGATGCATCATGAACAACATCAGCTCCTAAAAAATAACCTATACCTAGGAAGAATCTTGGATAGTAATCCCAAGGATATTCACTAGTTGATAGGGCCCATCGATCACCGTATCCATTTATAGGTCTGTCAACTCTTCCAAAATATACAGAACCAGCTGCAAGTGATTTCACCTCTGAACTATTCAGTTTTCTTACCAGATTAATTGTATTGTTTGGATGAATTATGTAATCGTCATCAATAAATAAGAACAGTGGTGTTTGACGGATGCAGAATGCTGTTGCCCAGTGAAAGGAGAAGATCATTTTTGAGGTTAAATTAAATAAGTATCATAAAATGCACCTATTAATAAATCATTATATTGTCTACTTTCATTATACAAAGCTTTAGCAGCTGACCACCTGGAACTTTCATACCTTTTTGATAATTGCCAAGAGTTAAGCTTAAGGCTCGTTGTCACTCCGTCAAAATGAAAAGTATTAGTTTCGTTTGGCATTGGTAATCCAACAGTAAATACAAACTGTACGCTGAAATTACTCCATAAATTCTTATTCATGTAAGTTCTACGAGCATAAGACCGCTGTTCGAAACAGTATACACATGACTTCACGATGACTAAAAGGTCCAATTTCTCCTTTTCGAACAAGGGCTGCATGTTTTTCTTGGTAATTGAACGACAATTACAGCATCGTTGTTATTGGGTACCTGAAATATTAATATTATATCAAATCAGAATTTCTTAAGGTGTCAAAGTGGTATCAAACCAGCCCAGTAAAGAAGTGCAACAGTTATGAATAATTAGAGGTCTAATGAGCGTTATGTACAATATAGAGAAATAACTTTAAAAATAAGTCACGCAAGCATCATCTAGCAACCTAACATTATGCCATATCACTTTCAAACAGAATACTGATATTAATTAAAAAATCAGTTCGTTGAGGATATTTATTGAATATTCAACACCCCATAGCTAGTTAACTTAAACATGGGTTCAAAATATTTCAGCTGTAATATTTTGGTTGTTACAGCAATTAAAACCAGTCAGAAAATCCTGACGCGACCTGGATAACTCAATAGTAATGTCGCTGATTGCAACACTGAGTCATGTCGGTTGGGTCTCATAGGGGACATCATTTCCCTCGAAGTTCCAGATACATGTTACTGACGAGTGCCAAAAAGCACAAAACCTAGTTCCAGGGATTCCTCTTGATTTCCTTCAACCAACTAAAATCCTCACGTTTTCGGTAAGTATTACTGTCATAAAGAGTCTACTAGTTTTTTATACTCCCAGAAAGTGGAACTCTGAGTAGCTGAATTATGCTTAAACAGCGAAATGGAGATAGTTGTATATCGTTTGGTTCAACAGATTGATAAGAAAGTAAAGTGCTATCATGCTCTAGATGTCGTTTCAGACGTTTTCATTTGTGCTAGGCAACGTCAAGTTGGGCGCTGCATCTTAATTTCAGATTTGCATAGTCCTAATTCTTTTCCCCAGATTACATCCATGTAAATATACAGTTCTTATTGAAGTAAATTGCGACGGCAATAAGTTTCATTATATGGATAACCGGAGAGTACTAACTGTATGTACACTCACAGCAACATACAAAGTGTATCTGTCCGTAACACGTCCCCTTTACCTCTATTTTCTCCACTTCCAATCAGTTTCTCTGAACAGCATCAAGTCTCTTACAGCCTCTTTAACTTCTTATCCTGTGATAATTGGTAGCTATGTAGACTTACAAAACACGATGTTCAATCTACAAAAAACAGACTGTCAAACTTACATTAAAACCTTCAATGCTCAAATGTGATCTAAAATCGAAAAATGAGTTTCACAGGTCAAAAGCCTTGAATCACAATACGTTAATATAACGTGCAAATATAATTCAAATGAGATCATTCCTTTGAATTATCCTGACCTGTATGCCAAATTTGCCAAATTAGCCTTAAGAGGGATCAGAGGTTCACTGGCTGATTCCGGTAGACTGACTGGCCTAAGTATTGAAATGATTTTTACAGTAGAAAGAGAACTTTTCAACTGCTTCAGCTATCTGTGCACCTGCAAGCCAAAACAATCTGTAATGACTGGAAAATTAAGTGGTAATTATTGATAGTCAGTGTTCGTTTCCATCATCTATAGTTATAAAGATGCTACAGATGACTTTAACCGAAGCAACACAAAACTAACAATTGAACATACTCATCCTAGCGAGTAGCTATAAGGTTCAGGTAGGGAGGCCGAAACAATAGGTGAAGAATCTTAAAGTATTCACAGAACACCATATAGACGAACTAAACTCAAGAAGGATGAGTGATATCGCCTCACTTAACACTGACTTGCATCAAGTCAACATTGGGAGTATATATATCATATTTCTTGGAGTTACCGTCAGACAACGTCAATCTAATGCTGCTACCGTTTCTGGAATATATAATTAAAATAAGACAGTGCACTAGTACGTACAATCACGTATCTGAGTGTAAGAGGAAGCAGAAGAAAAAAATATTGAAGTTTCTTTGTGCTGAGCAAGACAATAACATAAAGACGAGTTTACGGAGATTGTGACTTGTTGCTTATCTGAACATGGCAGCAGCTATCATCCGTACGAAGGCCGAAGTAATATCGACTGCCTAAGTGGCAAAGACTAGTAGGGACCCTAAACCAAACGTTTTTCGCGTGAAGTAACAACAACAACAACCGTCGAAGACGCTTTCTAACAACATCTTTACTTGACCTCAACCAGATCTGCTAATTTGTGACCCTTTGTAACTCTGACTACTAAAGAATTGGTTTCCTCTCCTAAGAGTAACCTTCTGATTCCGCGTACACAGAAAGCGTAGTCATTTGAGGTGAGGACGCTGATGAATTGCAGGATCTCATAAGCACCATGAAAAACGCAGCAGTTTATTCGGTATGTATTTCGCACCTGTCAATCGTGAGATGATGCTTCAGGACCCCTCAAATGTGACACTTAGTTTAAGAATGAGGAGCAAGCTGATGGAAGAAGTGGTACCAATTCATCAATCCTCTGAATGTTCTTCTGAATCATGTATGAAGGTTTTATCTTTCTGGTTGACATACTTAAGATGTTAGCGATGAATGAGTGCAGAATTTCATCGATATGATCAAAAACCAATCATAATGGCGTAAATGTCTGCACATTTTAATATTCTGTTTCCATCTTTTTCAATAAACTCAATGTATGTATTGTTTCTCTTCTTATTTTTCACATTAACATCATGCCATTTCTAGTAATCCTTTCGTTGTTGATTGCCTTGAAGTTGGCATCAAGACACCTAGTACTTTTGTGCCAGGTTCTACTTTTATTTTACCACCTGTCTACACCATGTACAAACAGCGTTGTCGAAAAGATAGATTTTTTAAAAGATATGTACTGAATTTGAAGCGATAAGAAACTAATTAAGTGTAATACAGCTTACTGTAGTTGGACTCTGATGTCAACATCACTCGAATTTATAGGATTCATCTATTTCCCTGACACCCTATTCATTTTATAACGTCACAGATCTCAGTCATGAAATAATTACAAATGAATAACAAAGGTGTTAAAATGAGAAATAATCAGGGACTTCTTTTTCAAAGCATCTAAGACTGATTTCCAGCTCTAGACTACAAAATTTTATTCGCATCTAATGATTTCAACGTTTTGTCCAAAATATCAATAGGACTTTAATGTAGTTTTTAGAATTGTACGTGGGAATTCAGTTCCATTAAAAATAATATTCGAGAGGTTAATTAATGCATCTTCGCTCCATTGTTAAAATGATATAACTATTGCATTCCTGATCGTTAACGTTTGTAAGCAATAACCTTTTTCTGTGAATAAAGTCTATAGTGTGGATGGTCGATAAGTTTTGCTGTAAGGTAGGGAAATAAGGTTCTTTTCCTGATGCACAAACACGTGCTTAGCAGCTAACATATCATGCTCGACTGCTTTTATGAAAATAAGCTTTTAAACAGATCATTGGTACTCGTTATATTGAAATAAAAGCGTCAAATAATTGACTAATTTCTCACTAAATCCAAAGGTTGTCAAACTATTCAACGTTGTTTTTCAATTCAAGTTTAGATACGATACAAGAAGTATTGTTAATCTGTATATGTCAAGGCACTTTTTTCGACCAGATGCTACTAAGCACACTTATGAGATAATTCTTTGGTCTAATACATATTGAAGGTCATTTACCTCTTAGGTTATTTAGATTCGGAAGAAGAAAAGCTTACAACGAATCTGAAATCTACACCGGTTGTTTCATAAACTTCTGCAACTGGTTATAACTGCCTTCAAACAAATTCAGTCCTAAAAGTAACTAGTTTGTATTCCTTTACTTGTTTTAGTATGTAGGTTCGTTGCAGTCCATTTAATTGACTCTTAAATAAATAATGTTTACTTGAAAAGAGTTACTTCATAAAAATTTCAGTATATCTGAGTTTAAGCGATGTTCAGTTACAAAATATGAGCTTACAAATCATGACGTTGTACTTGTTTCACGTACCTCGCTTTTTGAAAGACCATCTGAAATAGCTTGCAGCGATTCGGTTACATTAAAAGCCTTTGGATAGTGTTCCTTCAGAAGTACAGGATGCTCTTTTTCATTTTTTGTTGGCATACGATGGATAATGTAGCTTTCATTTCTCATAACGCAGTCTTCATTAAAATGATAAATGGTTTGATTGTCATGCCGAACCTTGTACTGAATTTTCAGATCCAGATAAGTAGCCGTGTTTCGGCGCATATAATTTGGATAGGAAAAGAAAACAAGGCTGATAAATAAATGGATTCTTCTGATATGATTAAAAGAACTGTCACTAACGTTCTTCAACTCATTAAGAAAGTTTATCCATGACTTTTCAGATATGATAGCCTCCTGCAGTTTATCATAGGCACACAGTGTATAATTTCTCAAAACAGGTGGTTGTCTAGGGTTGTTTGAAATAAAAATGTATATCAGTGAATGTAATACAAACATGGTTATGAGGATTATAAATACAGACTTTTTAATTCCACCATTTAAGGCCTTTGGAAAGGCAGTAAGCCTTAACAACATTAGCCTGGAAACAAGTAGTATGACCCTGGTACGCACTTGCAGTACAGCTTCACTTTTAGTTGACAATAGAATCGATCATGAGTATAAATACTAATATAGATACCTGTCACTAGAACTTAGTGTATGTCACTTGACGACTAAATATAAGCCGAACAATTAAGTAGTAAATAATGGAGGTCAGCCAAGTTTGATTTTAAATAAGCTTATACACACAGATGCATACTATAAAAAC